TTACCACAAATATGAGAGTCTTACCTCATGAAATTGATTTCGCTAAATTTTTATTATTAGTTGGTGATGGAACTCTGAATGACCAACACGACAATTTATTTTCACCTGAACATGGTATTCTTAAAAATAATGATATAGTTCGTACTGTGTTTCAACAATTGATCATAGACAAGAAATTCGATACAATGAGTAAATTTGCTATTTTGTTCGCCCGAAATATTGACGTAGATGAATTAAATAAATCAGTTATTTATTTGTTAGATAGATCTACTGAACATATTTATACCGGCATTGATAGCACCTAAAATTGTGACAATGGTGAATTTGACAAAGTACTTTTGCGGGAATACTTAAACTCATTGAATCCTTTCAGTTTGCCTCCACATGAATTACGATTAAGAAAAAATTGTATTGTAATGTTAATTAGAAATATAAGTATTCATAAAGGTTTGTGCAATGGTACACGTTTAAGGGTGTTAGATTTTTCTAATCATTTGTTGAAATGCGAAGTTCTGACGGGAGACAAATCAAATAATATTATATTCTTGAATCGTATTTCATTATTTTGTACAAATGAGTATCCATTTACTTTCAAAAGAGGCCAATTTCCCGTTAAGTTAGCGTTTGCAATGACAATCAATAAAGCTCAAGGTCAAACGTTTGAAAATATTGCTGTTGATCTTCGTAGGGATGTTTTTAATCATGGTCAATTGTACGTAGCAATGTCGAGAGTACGCTCATGGGATACACTTAAAATTGACCTTGGAAACCAACAACGGAATTAAACAATAATTATAACGTCAACAATCATGTTTTCAAAGAGCTCTATTCGTGAAAAGCTTATTGTCTAGCTTTACGCATGCACATATCTATATAATAATTTAATGAATTTTAAACAAAATACTCATAGCAATCATACTAATCTTAATTAGCAATGAAAATGAACGCGCGCGAAGCGCGCTGACTGGTTCTAGTTGATGAAATCCATGATATCGTGATGGCTGACAGAAGAGTGAAGGCGCGTGAGATTGCTAGTACTGTAGGCATCTCGAGCGAATGGGTACATAATATTTTGCACCAACATTTGGACATGAAAAAGCTATCCGCTAGATGGGTGCCGTGATTGCTCACGATTGACCAAAAACGAGATCGTGTGAAGTGTTGCAAGAATGGTTTGCAGCTGTTTCAGCAAAATCCGCAAGACTTTAAGCGTCGATTCATCACTGTAGATGAAACATGGATACATCACTACACTCCTGAAACCAAAGAACAGTCTAAACAATGGATTAGCAAGAGGGAATCTGCTCCGAAAAAGGCGAAGACAATTCCTTCGGCCGGGAAGGTTATGGCGACTGTCTTTTGGGATTCGCAAGGAATAATCTTCATCGACTATCTGGAAAAGGGTCAAACCATTATAGGCGAATATTATTCATCGTTATTGGATCGTTTGAAAACCGAATTGCTAGAGAACCGTCCACGATTGGCCCACAAAAAAGCCCTCTTCCACCACGACAATGCGCCAGCTCACGCCTCAGCAGTTGTGGCCGCAAAACTGATGGAGATAGGGTTCCAACTCGTTTCATATCCCCCCTATTCTCCAGACTTGACTCCGTCGGACTACTATTTGTTCCCTAATATGAAAAAATGGCTGGCGGGGAAAAGATTTTATTCAAACGAGGAGGTGATTGCAGAAACGAATGCCTATTTTATAGACTTGGACAAATCCTATTATTTAGAAGAAATTAACAAACTAGAGCAGCGTTGGATGAAGTGTATAAGCCTAAAAGGAGACTATGTTGAAAAATTAAAAAGATTTATTAAAAAAAATCAAGCAGTTTTTTATTTTGCACGGACTTTTCAAACGACCCTCGTACTAGCGCATTATCATGATGAAGCCAGTCACCACTTGACCAAAATTGCAAGCGTTTTCTTCTCACTGTTTCATACAAATATTTCCAAATTGAAACATAATATTCTTTATTAATTTTCTAATCCGTCAATGCTTATTTGTGGTACATAACACCTTTACAATTGAAATAAACAATCAACATTGACTTAACATTGCTCCCACTTTAACGTGCTCCTTTTGGTCTTGACTTCAACTGTGAAGACTATTATTTTGTTTCAGGATCATAATCATAACCCTATAATTCATCACCAGTAATAAACTTTTTAAACACAGTATCATTATTATTGACCATTACTAAGCTTGAAACGATTATACTAATCTTTTTTTCGTGTTTTGTTCATACAGTTATTCTTAAAGACCTTCTGTATCATCTGAACAGTTTCGGAATTCGTTTTTTCCGAGGTGACAGCTAAATTTAATGCAAATTCATTGATCTTGTTTTCCAGTCATTTTTAGCAATCAGAAAATCCAATCAATAGGTTTGTGAGGCTTTACTCCAGTGATGAAAATGCGATGACACTACAAAAACTTCATTTTCATAAAGTCGTATCGCTCTATATCATATATAACTATGCCCAAGATTGACAGTTGGCAGTGCCGAGCATCTTGGACGTAGGTGTATACGATATAGATCCAATATGACTTTATGAAAACGAAATTTTTTATAGCGTTATCGAATTCTCATCACTGCTTTACTGTTGACGTTTATGCTCCGCAGAGTTCACTCGAACACTAGTACGGAAATATAAAGGTTAGTCTGATACTTTCTGGATAAACTACGTATTGGTTGCGCAACCAAAAATTAGAATTCTTTTTTCAAGTAAAGGTATGAAATTAATTGCTTATCCACTTTCATTTAAGACTATAAGATTTATCATTTTCAGTGGAAAATTGTTTCGTCTGCGAATTTAGTTTAATGTTTTTAACTATTGGACCCTCAGAATCTACATTGGTAAAGTAATGTCTTCTTACACGTAGAAATTTCATATTATTACTGAATATTACAGTTTCCATAAATTAATGGTGCAGATAATAGTCACTCTTATTTAACTTTTGAAAAATGAGGTAAATATTAAATAAATAATTTAGCGTATTTCGTTTAATTATGTTAAAATTTTAAGAATCATCTTTATGAAGAATTACATTATTTACTGAATAAACTAAATTATTGACATAAAGATATCTATTAATGTTTTACAAATTGATACGAGATTATCAATTTTGATTACTTCTGTTCCATTAAATGTAACAATTTTAAGTTGCATCACTATAACTTCATTATTCCTAATAAAATTAATAAATTCATTAAATTTTACAAAATGTATAATATAGATAAGTGTGTGTGTGTAAGATTCAAGATTAGCATTCTATTAAATTGATTCACAATAAATAACATTAAAAAAAATCGTAAACCTTTTATTTCTACGTTTGTTGTAACATAACTAGACTGCAATATAAATTGTGGCATTATTCTAAACAATTGCAATATTTGTATTCAAGTTTCTTCTGATTGTATTGTAACGTCGGATAACTACTGTTAATTCTGAACTTTATTTTTACTTATTTTACGACTAAAGAGCATCAAATTGTACAAAATTTGAAACACTATTGGAAAGCGAAAATACGTTGGAAAGTTTCTCTTCTCAAGATTCCTTCAGATACCTAGAGAAGACAAGCTGACTAAATAGCCTGGAATTTGAAAATATCTATACAGAAAAAATCTAGTACTTCGTTACGCGCATCCATTCACTTAAACCCTATGCGGAGTACAGAGAAAAAAAAAGAGATAAAACTGTTCTCATGCGTTTCCTTTAAACTTTTCACTTTCCCGTTGAGCACTATATAAAAATTTAAGATAACAAAATTATGAATTTGTTCATTTAGATGAATTCATTTTATAGGTAAAAATAGTCGTAATAATAAAGTTAGAAAATTATTTTTTTCCAATGTATAGTTTTGCGTAAATAGATAAAATTAAGTTGTAAAATTTTAAGTTTTCAGCTAATTTCCGTTTAAGAAACGATTTCCATTAAGCAATAACATTTTTATTTTGTATATTCACTTCTGTTACTAAAATTAAGCAAAATTAAAGACGAAAACAAATCAATTTTAAGTTAGATTTTAAGATTATAAAGAAATAACATTTGAAAGTTAAAAATAACTCTCAAGTTATTATTTATATATTAAACAATAAAAATAAATAATAGTTAAATAATAAAGAATTTTTTGTTAAATCCTTGCACGTTAAAAGTTTAAACAATAGCGTATTATGCACACGATTTGGTATGAGTAACTCCATCTGTGTTGGAAAACTCGAGAGAAAAGTGCACTCTACAGTGTCTTTCACTCTTACGGGAAAATTTCCACCAATCATTTTTGGAGTTTTCATTCCCAAATCCTTCAGAGCCTCTTGCGGCCTTATTTTGAAAAAGAACGCATTCTGAGGGATTGTGTTAAGTAATGCACGAACTGTTTGCCACTGCTACGCCATCCACAATCAGGACTGTCACGCTCCCCAGACCGCCTCTCTCTCAGTGGCAAGGACTATTTTTGGGACAAAGATAATTTAATTTCTTTTTAAGTTGTGAGCATGCAAGGCTCAACTTTTAAAGTTTTAATTTTCATTTCAAATTGTGAGGAAGGATTTCAATTTTAATAAAAGTAAGTTCAAATTTAATTCATAGAACACATAATTTCCTATTAGTAACCTTTCTTTAAATCAATTTTCCCAATTTCGTATCGCTCGGTCCTCTTGTTGCAAAACAAGTTGGATAGAATTGATACTTAGTTTAACACTCAGAACTTGAATCAATAGGATCTTTATAGGTTTGAGTGGAATGTATAATTAAAAATTCTCTGTGCCTTCTGAAAAGATTGGTGCTAGAATAATTGATTTAGATTCAGGAATTAAATAAGCACCGGTGCCGTGCACGTCAAATTTTCTGTATTTTAGCTAACACCAATCTTTCCTTACCCGGGTGAAGTGAGAAATCACAGCCCGAAAAGGAATAAAAATTCCCGCCTCACAATTAGTGAGACGTAATAGTATAAAATACACTTGGTAAAATTATTAAAACAAACTAATACTTACGCCTGTGACAGTTGTAAATTTACCATCGCCTTCTGGTGGAACATATGATTCGAAAATATTCCCTGTACAACTTATATATGTTGGTTTTTCCAACCATGGCTTTGAAGGAAAAATTCCCTTTTCTTTCAACCTCAGACGCTTTTCATCCTCGGAAAGTTCTTGACTATTTTCACATTCTATAACTTTTTCTCGTCTTTCTTTTTTAAATTTGGGATTCCAATGTTTTGTATGACGATGACGTAAGAGCTGAGAGCCATAAAATATATTAATCCTCTTCAATAAGATAATGAACATCATATTATAGTACTGTAAAATTGTAAAATTTATCATTAGTAATTTTTTATTGTTATTAGTAATAGAAAACTAACACATGTTTATCAACATTTTTTCAATAAAATGAATAAAATATATACGAAAATTTAGATTTTGTCAGAATAAGTTTTATTAAATTTTTTTTTGTAAAACACATTCTTGTATGAAATTAGTAATGAAAGACACGTTGAAAACATTGATTAGTGCATTACAATGTTAATTAGTTTGTTATTTTTAGTTTGATATTATGTTGGAACTACTCATCAGTTTGATAAAGGCCATGTTTTTTCGGTAATAAGAAAAAGATTCTAATTCGGTAATATCAGCAAGTAAATATTTTATTTTAAGCGAGAATATCAATTATAAATCGTAAAAAATGCTTAAGATTTTATATTTAAAATACCGCCTATTACGCTTAATGATCAGAATTTTATTGATTTATTTAGCTTAAATAAATCCATACTATACCTAATGTTTGAGTAGAGATTTTATTGCTCGCTAAATACCGAGGAAAGAGAAAGATAAGAGTAAGCTTACTTAACCCATTAACGATCAAAATGCTCAGTTTTTTTGTCGATTTTCAACGCGTTTTTTTCGGTAGTCATAGGCCTAAGACATTTTTGCAAACACGCATTTGGATGGGAAATTTAACGCTCTTTCAGAATCTTTTTTCAAAATTGCAATTGATTGTGTTATAAAAAAGTTATAGCCAATTAAACAATAAAAATCTGAAAAATTTTGCAAAAATTCAAGTTTGCGATTTTTTTTAGCAATGTTACCGCTAAAAAATCATCAAACAAATATGATCAGAGGTGATCACGACTATCAAAGTATCTCCAGGAATTTTGGTGGAATTTTTGAACCACTTCTTCAAACAAAATGGTGGCAAAACAAAAAAAAATACATAAAAAACATTTCTCGTTTTTTATCTCGGAAACCATTAAGTTTAGATGAAAAGTTCATTCAACAAAAAAGTCTTAGAATTAAACGAGAAATACGCCTGAATTTTTTCATAATTTTCCGAGGTGATTTTTGAATTTTCGGAGAATACGGAAAATCCATTTTTCGAAAATCATCTCCAAAAATTCTAAAAAAATTCAGGCATGTTCCTTGATGAATTCTAAGACTTTTTGTTCTATAAACTTTTCCTCTAAACTCAATAGTTTTCGAGATAAAAAACGTTCTACTCTTAGCATGACCCAGAGACAACGACGAGGACGTAGTAGAATTTTGTCTCCTTTGGGGTGCTTGATTTGAGTGACTCCCCTTGCCTCTCACTTTTCGAGGTGCTTGATTTGAGTGAGTCCCCTTGCCTCTCACTGCAATACGAATTTTTCAGTGTTTTTTTTGAAACATTCAACACAAATCGATAAATCACATTTTTCACAGATAATTGTCGTTCTTACGGGACAATAAGAACAAAGTTTGAGTTTTGTTTGTTTGGACATATTGTGTTTCTCTTTTTTGCATTGTCTCTGCGTCATGTAATTTTTAGCTATTGAAAGTGCAAAATCTTTTGTTCCAACCCTTTTTTTCTCATCATTGACAGCATTGAATAGTACAGTAGCATTTACAATCAAAGCTTAAATTAGTCTTAAAAAAACTACCCACGTCCACTTTTTTGAACGAATACTCGGAAGTAAATTGTTACAATGTCCGTCGTGGACATCATTGCCACCCATAAAACTGTTATAGACGCTAATAGCCCTCGGAAAAGGTATTTCAACTTTTTTTCCTTCTTGCTTACCGCATCTCTTTGAAAAGGATAATGGAGTTACCCCTGCAGAAATAATCGAAACTGGTTTTGAATCCATCACAGTGATGTAATTTATACCACTGTTCTTATCGTGCTTCACGGCATACTCACCTCTTTGAGCTTTTTTATTTAGAACATTTTTATCTTTTACTCTATCTGCTCTAATAGTATCTGTACATTTTAGCCCAAGCTTCTTCGAATGCACAGCGAGATCGAAGTTTGTGAAATAATTATCAAAATAAAGATGGAACATAGATATTTTGACAAGCTTCTGTGTACGTTATATTAGAAATTTCATCATCCAAATCAGTATCGAAATCTGATTCATCAGAACCAGAATTGTCAGGATTTGGAAGGGTAACTATATCATCGTAAGTGTTCTTTGAAGTATCAATTTCGTACATTTCATGGGAGCAAGTGGAACGTCTTTTACGTTTTTGCGACATGTTATATAAAATAATAAAAATACCCAATGAAAATAATTACTACAGTTTTTAATGCTTCTTGTTAAACCTAGACTTTAGAAAGCGAAAATAATCTTTTCGATTCGATTTACTGTATGGTCTCAAAATAACAAGAGACTAGTAAGTAATAAAAATGAGTTCACATAAAATTTTCTGAATTGCTTTTTTGATATGTGTATATTAGTATACGCTATACAAACTGCACTTGTATACACATAAAAAGGCAAAACATTATTATATTATTGTTGAATAGCTGTTCTTTATTCTGTATCAAAAATATTAACGCTGCTAGGATTATAACCTAACTCACTTTTTATCTCGAAAACTATTGAGTTTAGAGGAAAAGTTTATAAAACAAAAAGTCTTAGAATTCATCAAGGAACATGCCTGAATTTTTTCAGAATTTTTGGAGATGATTTTCGAAAAATGGATTTTCCGTATTCTCCGAAAATTCAAAAATCACCTCGGAAAATTGTGAAAAAATTCAGGCGTATTTCTCGTTTAATTCTAAGACTTTTTTGTTCAATGAACTTTTCATCTAAACTTAATGGTTTCCGAGATAAAAAATGAGAAATGTTTTTTATGGATTTTTTTTTATTTTGCCACCATTTTGTTGGAAGAAGTGGTTCAAAAATTCCACCAAAATTCCTGGAGATACTTTGATAGTCGTGATCACCTCTGATCATATTTGTTTGATGATTTTTTAGCGGTAACATTGCTAAAAAAAATCGCAAACTTGATTTGTCGCAAAATTTTTCAGGTTTTTATTGTTTAATTGGCTATAACTTTTTTATAACACAATCAATCGCAATTTTGAAAAAAGATTCTGAAAGAGCATTAAATTTCCCATCCAAATGCGTGTTTGCAAAAATGTCTTAGGCCTATGACTACCGAAAAAAACGCGTTGAAAATCGACAAAAAAACTGAGCATTTTGGTCGTTAGTGGGTTAAACTGTGGGCTATAATCCTGTAGGTTGCAAGATAAACAGTTTGTTTAAACATATTTTAAATAGTAAGATAATAATAATAGCATTTAGAGAAATAGTTAGATCAGCAACGCAAATTTGGTAATCAATAGAAAATATTAATCGCATAACATAGTGAAAGTACAGTTTGAATCAAATTAATTTAATTAACAAATAAAAAGTAATATAAATTGAGATCAAGCTGAGCTTAATCGAAACAAATGTGTCATATTGCAATATTAGCATTATTAACGAAGAAAATTAGGTGTAGATACAATTATTAAGAATGGAGAGCTTGCGAGCATACCTTAAAACTAACTTAAAAACTAGCACCCTACAATGGCCTATAAGTTGGTGAATTTGGCAAATTTCTTATGTTCATAGATACTTTTGATTGGAAAAACTCTCTAGGAAGGAATAAGCGACTTCAAAAATTTGATTACAGGATGGAATTTTAGGTAGAAGTAGAGATTGAAGGTGGAAAACACAGGCTGGGAATGCATGAGAATGAAGAATAATAGTTTTATGAGAAGGTGGTATTGTCATGGAGGTTAATTGAAAAGGAGGGAGCGATATTATATTTGAGGTAGTGACTAGGGATTTCAAGATATTCTGTGGTAGAGGTAAAAGCACTGATGTTAAGAGAGAGAGACAGATGGCAAGAGAGATAAAGCAAAAGAGTTGGTGAGTTTTTCAGTCTCTATTCGCGTATGGAAGTGGTGAAGTACATGTACTTTAAAAAGGGAAAAAAGCCAGCGTTTGAGTTCCCGTATCACCTCAGCTTTGAAATCAGTGACTAAGAGCTGATTGAGAAGATGTATGCCATTTATGGTAGCAGATTGCTTCCAAGCTCCAGTCCTTAAAGCAGCATACTGGAAGACCATAGGTGGATTTCTGCTCGATTATCTATAGGACAGTTGATTTGATTTCTCTGAGACTATAGGGAGAGCCAGCCCAGACGTAATCTATAAAAAGAGACATGAGATTTTATGTTTTCTGTAGGAATGAAAGGGGTGTAGTCCGTTATGAAATGAACGCTGGTGTCAGAGAGTAACTGTGGTGTTTTAACCTTAGAGAGAGGGCAAATTAGAGTCCTTTTTCGCATATTTGGGAAAGTGTGTGTATGAATGGACTTGTTTATGATTACTTTAAGTTGTGGTGCCAGAGTTGAATAGCTAAGATCTAGCATTCTCGCAGTCAGCTCGTCTAAGGTCTCTGATTTCCCAATTTAATCTCATCCTGGACTTTTCTTAAAGTAACATTTCGTAGATAGAAAGGTGGAAATGAAAAGATATTTGATGAGAGGAGGATACAAATATCGTCAAATTTTTCTTGCGTTGTGGGTAGAAACAGTTTTGTAACTTGTGCATAGTGGTTGTTTAGATTTTCAGCGGTGAAAAATAAAAGTAGGGAGGGTAAAAGTTTGTTAGTAATCTTAATATTACGTAGTGTAGCTTAGCAAAATTTTTAAACTTTTGACACAACCGATAATTACCAATCAAAAACCAAAGATCCTTGATCATTAGGAATGTTGAATAAATTTTTGCTATTTTTGTATTGTGTTGTATCAATGTATTCCGACTACAATTATTTATAAAGTTAGGTACATAATTCTGATGCAAGTCTTCTATTGCCAAATCTAATTAGTTAGATATGATTCGTTCAGATTTTCCAATTAACAATCCCATTTTTTGATTAGTAAGAGATGTTCGCAACTTACATAAAAGTGTTGCTACATGCTCGGGCTTGCACTGTTGCATATAATTACAAATTTTATTACTGATTTTTGTCAAATCTAAACCATGCTTTACAATCAGTATCATAGAGTCTATTTTTTCAATATCAAATTCAGGCTTATTATTTTTTAAGTTTTAATGATAATACTCAAACATTAAATCACTTACTATCTTTTGTCTGTTATTTAGATCTTCATTTTTGATTGGGTTTACTAATTATCAGTAATTATCAACATTTTAATGCCGAGTACACACACGAGCATCTTCGAGAACGAGGCATTTATATTCCATCAACAGTAACTGGCGAATATTTCTAGGAACAGTTATCAAATTCTCTTGTTGCTTACAACCGAAAGTGCAATGAGTATGAGAATTAATTCCTTCTGTATAAATATTCAAGTTTTAAGTTTCATAATATACGGAAACTTGTGGATACCTTCTTACTTGATCGTGATATGATTTGCAAACTTTACTATTTAATGAAATATTATCAAGTTCTTCAAATAATTTTCTTTTAGTATTATATTTTTGTCGAATACTATTTATTCTTGTTAAAATATTGAGGATATTTGTTGAGAATAAAAAATATCAGACTTGCTTCGTGTATGAGTATCGCAGCTTAACCATTTTGTTAAAGGCATTATGATCCAACCTTAATCTAAATTATGTAAGAAATAATTAAAGATTCTTAAGTTTAATACAAACTTGCATAAATATTTTATTATAATCACCAATTAAAAAATAAAATAACCTATTCTTTTTTAATATTATAAATATTATACAGGAATAGTATTTGCTTGAATCAATATATTGCGGTTATGACCTGTACATAAAAGCAAGACTATATTAATTTAATTACGGTTAGTTATGCACTCCTATCGGTGAATCAAGTTACTACGAGGTCTGTCCGGAAAGTGTCGGGCCTATGTTTATATCTTCGCGCCATAGTGTTCGAGCGACCTCTACCGGACAGAAACGTCAACAGTAAAGCCTCACGAATCTATTGGTTACTTACTGACACCTGCCGGACGTATAGTTCATGGGCAGCGTGTCTTTGTTTACAGTGCCTTTTTCGCGTTCGTCGGATTTTGATATTATCAAAAATGACTGAAAAACAAGATCAACGAATTTGCATCAAATTTTGCTTTCAACTCGGAAAAACGAGTTCGGAAACTATTGAAATGATGCAAAGGCCTTCGGAAGCGAGTGTATGAGACAAAACACGAATAAAAGAGTGGTATAAACCTCTCGATAGTGATTCTCGTTCCGGTCGACCTTCGACGACAAAAACCGCAGATAATATTGAGCGAGTGCGACTTGCAATAGAACAAGATGGTCGTATGACTGTGCGAGAACTAGAAGAAGATCTTGGGATACCAAAATCTATCATTTCAGAAATTTTAACCGAAAATTTAGGAATGAAACGCGTGTGTGCGAAATTCATCCCAAAATTGCTCACAGCAGAGCAGAAGAACATTCGCTTAGAAATCGCTCTGGACAATCTGGAAATGGTCAATAATGATAATAATGTGCTTAGAAAAGTTATTACAGGTGATGAATCATGGGTTTATGGTTATAATCCTGAAACAAAACAACAATCTTCACAGTGGAAGCATTCTGAATCGCCGAGACCAAAAAAAGCACGTCAAAGTCGGAGCAATGTTAAGTCAATGTTGATTGTTTTTTTCGATTGTCCCGACATAGCTCCTTGTGACTTTTGGCTGTTTCCAAAACTAAAAAAAACACTCAAAGGACACCGACTCGATGACAAAACAACGGCTGAAAACAATGCGACGAGTGTACTTAAAGCTATCCCTAAAAGTGAGTTCCAGGACTGTTTTGAAAAGTGGAAACATCGATGGAACCGTGTTATTTAATCAAGTGGAGATTACTTTGAAGAATGCCACCCACCAGATGATAAAGAATAACGCTAGCACGAAAATATAAAGGTAGGCCCGATACTTTCCGGACAGACCGAGTACATTATTACAAATTGGCGATTGATGATAGTTCAAATTTCACAATAATGACATTGAATAAAAAAAATTATTAAATTATTTATAATTATTCAATATTTGGGGAAGGTTTGACCCCGTCAGAGGGTTTATTCTTTTTGAATATAACGTATTTGAAGTGTATAAGTACATGTTTATATACCTGTACATATCAGTTCTATTAATATATTCTGAAAAAGGATTTTTAAAATCCATTATGATTATTTCACGTACTTTCAAGTAGTTGAATGAAACTGTTTTGGTTTATTTGTCTTTGATAGATAATAACACCCCTTTAAACATATCCTTTAACATATCCTTTGAGTGGTTTTTTTAGTTTTGGAAACAGCCAAAAGTCACAAGGGACTATGTCGGGACTGTATGGAAGTTGTCGAAGCAATGCGATATTGTGTTTGCTCAAAAACTGCTGCATAAGATTAGATGAATGCGCTGGCGCATTATCGTGATGGAGAAGCCAGTCACAAAAAATTTTTGTTTTTCTCTTTGTATGAATAATTCTTTTTTATTAATTTATATGTAATGTAAGTTTATTTTTGATATTGTCTCTTCAAGTTATTTTCTAGTTACATTTTTTATGGAGTACATGCGTAAATATAATATTCTTCATCGACTAATTATGAGCCTAGATAAGATAAGTTGAAGATTTTTCTTGTATTTATAATTATTTTTACCAGCATTTCATGTTTAGTTTAGCATTCAAAATGAAAATCAAACCTCTAAACGTGATAAATATAATACTCGCTTATTTTCAACAACTATCCATTGAAGAAAGTAATTACAATATTAAGGAAGTGGAAATTAAAGATCTTTTTCAGTCAATATTATTAGATTTGATGGACTCAAGTAATAACGTCAATTCGATTATAGAAACTACTTTAAATTTCCGAGAAGAATTTGAGGAACCTAATGCTATTATTGTTGAGAATATTGATCTATATACACTTCCTGTTGATCCTGAATTCCCGACAGATGATTGCAAGAGCCAAAGTGAGCCATTGAGTTTTGAATACAAGATAAAAGCTGTAAAGTTTTGGAAGATTGGAAAAGGAAAGCGAAATTTGTCTCTTAAAATAGTACAAAATCGGTTTTGTAAAGTCACATCTGAAACACAGTTACATCGCTGGGCTCACCAAATTAACAAAGGTGGTACGTACCGGGAAAAAATTGAAAGGATTTGCGATTATACCTTGGAAAACTTTAACGCGGCTCTTCAATCTGGATTTATAATTTATGATAATGACTTGACAAGGTGGGCTTTCCAAGCACAAAAATTGATTGGGGACGAGGACGTGCGATTTAGAGCTTCTAAATGTTGAGTTGCAAAATTTGAAGAAGCCCATAGAATCGTTTTTAGAAAAATTAACAAATTTGTAACAAAAAAAGCATAGAAAATAGAGATGAATTGCACGGAAAAGAGATGGAATTTATAACAGACGTCCATCAATTAATAAAACAAATTGGTCTTGCGAATACCTTTAATTTAGATCAGAGTGGTTTTCAATTTAAAATACATTCTGGTCGTACTTTAGCACTTGAAGGAGAAACGCAAGTCAGTGTCTTGTACAATCTGTCTTGTCAATTACATACAACTATACATTACAATCAACGATATCAGCAGAGGGACAGTTATTATCACCTTTATTCTTAATTTTACAAGAACGAACCGGAGATTTTGGACCAACTGTCTCACAAAAAATATTTAAGCCTCCGAATGTGTATGTTGCCGCTTCAAAGTCTGGAAAAATGAATTCAGGTAAAATCATGTATCACGTACTTGTAAATATAGCAATTCAAAAAGGACAAATTTACAGATCTCTTCAAAACATGGTTGAGGGAAATATATTTTTCAAATGTTGGATCTACCACAATGCTATTACTTGATTCGTGGAGTGGACACTGTCCAGAGGCTCTGCATCATGCCACGCCACGTGATAAAACGGTCCATCTGAAACGAATACCTACAGAAACCACTGGAAATATTCAGCCATTAGATGTTTTTGGGTTCCGTGTTTGGAAAAATTTTGTCAAGCAATTTTTAGATAGTATTATGTATATAGATCACGATTTAGAGTTGCACAAACGAAATAACATTATCAAATTACAGTCACTAGTTCATAACCAGTTTTCATCCTCACGTTATAAGAATCTATTCAGGTAGCGTGGTATAAAAGTGGGTTTCTTGTAGATAAACCAGAGGCATTTGAAAATCCCATA